TTGTTTTTAAGTTATTTGATCATTTAATTCTATAATAAAAATGTAAACCTCTTTAGATATTAGGTTTTATATCAAGAATATTGACCTTTTACATTTACTTTTTTTTAAGTTTCACAGATTTTTTAATAAGATTTTAATATAATTTATTAAATTTATCTTTTATTATTTAGATGATTTGTAAACCTTTAGATTTTGTCAAGTAACTTTAGTTTAGACAAATAACTTTATTTATATTTTATTATTTGTCTATTCAATAATTAAGTCAATACTAATTAGCCTTTGCAATTATATAAAAGTTTAAATAAGGTAAATATTAGTTTAAATTTTTTTAGTTAAGATTGTTTCAAACTTATTAATAATCTCAATTTCTTAATTTATATTATAATAACAGCTATTTAGCTAATAGAAAATTAGATGAAAATTCAAATATTAAAAAAATTATTTTTAATATATTTTATATTAACAATATTTTTTTTCTTTTTTTTTTTTATCAGATTTTATAAATTATTATAATATAAATCATTAGATTTCCTGTAATAAGTAAAGAAAATTAAGCATTAGAGAATATTTTATATTATTTTAATTAAAAAATTATTTATAAATTAATATTATATTTATTATAATAATTAAGTTATAAAGAATATATAATATTATATATAATTATTTATTAGTTTAAAATATTTTTTTAATATTAAATTTTATTTAAATCTAAATTGACAATTTGTATTTTTTAACAATTCAGAACTCAGTATTATTTTTTATCTAAAAAGTTTTACTTTTTACTTAGATTAGTAACTAGTATAGTCTGCAAAATAAATTTTAATATATAAATATAAAGTTGAATATAATTACTAATTTTAAAAAAATTATTAAGAAATATAATTTAGTATTATATAAAAAATCTAATAATTTTTTCTTGAAAAAAAACTTATTAAAAATAATTAAAATAAAGATAAAATATTTTACTTAAAGTAAATTAAAGAAATTATAATAAATACTATATAATATAAATTTTCACTTTTTACTTTAGGTAATACAAATCAAATTTTATTTGAATATCACATAATTAAAAAACTAGATTTAGCAATAATAAGGAATCACTTTTATAGTATATTATAGATCTTTTTTGATAATTTCTAAAAATCAATGATCAAAGATTGAGTTAAAAGCATTTAACTATAAAGAAAATCATAAAATTAATTTCTTAAAATTATAGTTCTTTTAATATTTTTTCAAGAAGAAAAAAAATAAAAAATAATATAAAAATCTTTAGATTATGTAAAGAAAAAATTTTGATATTTTACTTCTCTGCAAAGCATAAAATAGTATTGTAAAAAATAAAGATTTCTGATTATTTTTAAAAATATCTGATAAATTTTTTTAGAATCAGATATTTTTCTAGATATAATAAAAAATGTAAATCTTACTAATTTTGCAATAAAATTAATTATTCACGATTTATTAAAAAAATTTAGATTTGAATTTGATAATTTTAAAAATGTCAATTTTACAATATTATTTTAAAATTTTTGATGAAAAATATTTGTTTTATAAAAATAATATTAATTTTATTTAAATATATAAAATATAGTAAAATTTATCTTTGTAATATAAATATTTAGTTTAGAAAGTAGTTTGAATGAAAATAAATTTTAGTAATAATATTGAACCCATTAAACTTATTGAATCTATCAATAAAACTCAACCTACTTGTAAATCTTTAATTCACAAACCTAAAGTATGATATTATTAAACTTCTAAAAAAATAAAATTTAATTGTAAAATGGGAGTTTTTCAGTAAAAATAGTTAAGAATTTACTTTTAGTTTATATATAATGCTTCTAAAAAATTAATGTTTTGTTCGATTTATTAAGCTCATAAAATGTTAAATAAGTTTGCAAAAGAAGATATAATATATTATTTTTATTTATTTATAATATTAATATTTTTATATTTTTAATTAATAAAAGTTTAATTAACATTTTAGAATCTGAAAGCTTCAGCTTCAGCTAACTATTCTACTAATAATTATCCTACTCAAACAAATAATTTTGAACTTACAAAAGTACAAATGAAAAAAGTTACAAATAATGCTATTAAAAAGTTATATAAATTTACTTGTTATTTGATGAAAATTATTTTTTGGTTAGCTAAAAATAATATACCATTAAATAAATTTTCAAATATTATTTAACTTGATCAAACTTTAGAATCTCCAAAAATTATTTCTATTACCAAATTAATTATATATGAAAATTTTGTATTTGGTTAAGAATTTTTATCTGCTATAGTATTATTAATTGAAAAAAAAGTTTGGCAAAAACTACAAGGTACAAGTTTTATTGAAATAATGATAGATGAAAATACAGTATAGCATGTGAATCACATATAATTATATATGTTAAATATTGTATTCAAAGGATAATAAAAGTTAAATATCTTAAACTTATTCAGTTGAAAAGTAAAGACATGAATTCAATTTTTAATGCTATAATTATATTTTTTAATAATAATAGTTTGTAAAATTTTATATTTTGTTTTATATTTTAATATTTAATAGAATTATAATTAATATATTTCTAAATATATTTAGGAATAACATCAAAAATCACTTCATTTGTATCTGATGAAGCAAGTGTGATATTTAGAAAGAAAAATGGAGTTGCAGTAAAACTTGCAGAAAAGAATCTATATTTATTTACTACACATTGTATTACTTATAGATTAGTATTAACATGCAATTTAGCAAAAAAACAAAACACCTTTTTGTAAATATATGAAAGATATTATGAAATCAATTTATTCTTTTTTTAATTCTTTAAGTAAAAGACAAAAAACATTATGACAATATCAAATTGTTCTAGATCATCCTATTTTAAAAAACTGATAAATTCATGAAATAGATGCTTATCATGGTATGAAGTAATGAAAAATTTATGTTTGATCATTAAACTTTTAATGGATACATTATTAGATTTATCTGTTATTTCAAATTGAAATCAAAAGTAAGACATTATTCAATTATACACTCAAATATGTAATTGGAATTTTTTGGTAATTCTTTTTTTTATATGATATTTTGGGTTATCTTAGCAATTTAAGTAAAATATTTCAGTAATGGCATATTCAAATTTCAGATATTGATTCAGTAATTGATATGATAAATAATAAAATTAAATTAGAATATTTGGATTTTGATCCTGATAGAAGACTATTATTTGGAGAAAATTTTTTACTAAAATACCATCAAACTAAATGTTTATATTGGTGTTTATGAACTAATGTGAACAAAGAATTATGAATCAGATTTAATTGTTATAATTTATCATTTTTTTGCTGCAATTATTTCAGAATAACAAGAAAGATTTCCAAATCGACCCTTATTAAATGCAATGAAAAATTTTAATCATATTGATTTGATCAGATGATAAGGAATCATAATTATAAAGCAATAATATATGCTAATTATAAGACAATAAAATTAGAATTATTACTCCCAAAATTATTTGAAAATTATTTTGAAGATTTTTCAAATATATTAAAATTATTGAATATTATTTACTCAATTCCTTTTTCAAGTGTGAAGTGTGAAAGAAGATTCTCAAAGCAAAACTTAATCAAAACAGATTTGAAAAACAATTTAAATAATGAAACTTTAAATTTTTAATGATGATAGAATTAGATGACATAGATTTATTTTACTTGTGCTCTAGAAATTTGGAATTCAAAATGTAAACGGAACAATCCGGTAAATTTTTTTAAAACCGGATATATTTCCGATTAATTCCGATAAATTTTATATAACCGGATATTTATCCGGAAATTTTGTGTTCTATTTACGCCCTTCTCTGTAACCCCTTGATCTAATACAGGTTTAAACAAGTTTTTTTAAAATATAATTTCTGCATTTAGATGAAAACTCGAGACCAAAAGTTAAAAAATAAATCAGAAAATGAAACTACGGGAATATATATTTTTATGGTAGCGAAACATGAAATATTTTGTATGACAAATTCTTTTTTTTTATTATATATGAATAATATATTTTTTCGGTGATACAAATTGACATATCACATAAATCAAATGATTTAAACAGGTTTTTTAGTAAAATGTATGAAATTACATGTATGATGTAATTGACGCGTGTTGTTTGACTTGCTAAGTAACATGTACATGAGATTTACCTTTATATGAAACAAAAAAAAAAAAAGAATTTTAAAGACTAAAATAATTATAAGTGATTTTTTTTTGCTATAAGAAATTACCCTAACCAATACAAGCTTGCTTTCAAGTAACATATTCTTTTGTTTTTTAAAAAAATATTTCTATTCGATTTTGATTGAAAATAATTTTGACATAAGTTTTAAAAAAAAAAAAAGGAAAATTGTTTCGCCTTAAAAAAAATCACTTCATGATACGATTTACCTGAAAGTGTGGGAGTGGAATAAGGGGTTATTATTTATTTCCTGAATTAAAAAATTGCATGTGCCTTCTAATTTATGCTACGGCTAATTATTAATCTCAAGAAATAGTCACTTTCTAAATTTGGTCTATCGACTTTTATTTGTTGCATTTGAACAATAAAGAAAAAAAGAAATATTGATAAGAACATACTCTTTTCTATTTTAAAATAGTTTATTTATATTATCATTTTCATTATAAAAGAAACACATTTCGAGCAGCCTTTCTACATTTTCCCCTACATCTTCCTATTAAAAGTCTCATTCAAACCCTTTTTTCAAAATTTTATTTTTTCGACCATCTTAAAAAAAGTTTTTTTTTGCAGAAATCTTTTTTTAAAAATCATATCATTCATTCCTTTTTACTCTCTTTTTTTAGCAGAAAAATTGAAAGTCTTTTTATTCGAAATCCTTTTTTAAGAAAGATAACTTAGGCGCGTCATTCGGTGAAGTTGAGAATGGTGAGTATTCACTGAGTTATTTTGTCGAGCCATTGTATATCTGAAGTTACGCTGCTACTAGGTTTAAAATGTCTGGGAAATGAAAGCTCTTCGTGGCCACGGTTTCAGCCGTGAACGGTTCTTCCCTGTTTCCGAAGTCCCAAATGCTCTGCGCTGGGGATTGTAGTGAATAGGAATACAAATCAGTTCTACTTGATTTTTGATGATGATGACGCAAATTGCTCATTTTTTTATTTTTATATTTTATAGAGGCGTGGTGACAAAGGGAAAGATATATGCTGACGTATTCAAATATCTCAGTGTTATTCAATGCAAAACTTGAGAAGTAATAAAAAATAGGTATATTTTAATGAAATTTAATGAAATTTTATTATTTTTAATGAATATTTCTAAAATCACAGTCCTTATATCGTCTGAGAGTTGGTTGAAACTTTCTCCTATCAACCAAGCAAGAAATTTAGTGTCGTGATGGTCTTTTCGAAGGAATAGTTATTCCTTATGCTATAGAGGATGTCCTCACCGATAGTGCGAATTTATATTCAGATTGTAAATATTTTTGTATTTTTATCTTTCCTGGTTTTACTTTGTACTATTTTATTTACCTTTGTATTTTCTTATGCAATAAAATCTAACCCTGGATACTATTGTGCTTTAATGCAAATCTGTTACAGTATTGTTTCTTTCGTAAACCTTCATAATGTTTGTAGGATAATTCAATTATCGTTTCCACGTGACTTTTTTTCATGCATGGCGGATTGCTTATAACAATTGTAAATCATCATCGCAACACGCGCTAAAAATTTTATGTTGATTTCCATGAAGCGCACGATATGGAAAGTTTCGAACCTTTGATTTTTAAAATGATATATTTGGACCGTCGGATTGGTAGTGAGAAATAAGATTTAATAATATAATTTTTTTTCATAATTTAAAAGCTGATCCATGTAGCCTTAAACTTTTTCAGAATAAACTTACAAAGTTACTAATTATTAACTCAATTGTAATGGACGAAGGTTACTAAACATCCAGACATTTATTTGTATTAAATGAAAAAAATTTTTTTATATTTTGTATATAGGGCTTCTTGTCGATAGGATGCGGTCCTACTAGATGCCTAGCAAAAAAATTATGATTATTTGAATTCGGGTGGTCGTGTTCCTCCTCTTTCTTTACTTTGTTTTCAGAAACCTGGTAGATTAGAAAATAACTTTAGCAATACTGAAGTCTTCCCTACCTTCCTTATCATGTGACAAAGATATTAAACATAAAATACAACGATAACAAAAAAATTTAACAAGTAGATTTATGGCGGATTCAGATCGTTTTGATAAAAAACGAATCTAAGCAATCTATTTTAGTGAAAAATCTCGATGTTGAATATAAATAATACTCCTTTCATTTAGAAATAGTTATTTTTTTTTTTTTCCTCGTTTTTCATACAGTACATAAGCGCTGATAAAAACCAAAAAATCAAGGGGATTTGAAATATTTGTATTGGATGTAATTGATGACAGAGACTTATTACAGCTAATAAATGTATAACATAAATTGCTATGTACGCTAACTCTTCTTTGTTAAATCAAATGATAAATCAGAAAAATGTATTCACGTAAAATTCTGATAATCTCCATTAGAGGTTGCTTTTTTCGAATTTTGTTTTGTAAACCAGTTTTTTTTGCGAAATGTTTCAGCATTTAGCCTGAGATATTTACTGTGCGTAATATTCGGTTATGCATCATCAGTTTGTTGTAGATTTACAAACTACCTTGTTTTCGAGAGTTCGTGTATTACATTATCTCTCATTTTTCTACAAAATATTTTATGGACGACAGTAAGTAATTGTGATTAATAATGAAAAGTGATCGAACGACCTGCAAAAAGCATTACCTAATTGGCAAAACCCGAATCTCCTTATAATAATTCTCTGCAGATATCTCGAATTTAGTACATGCTGTATTATGTTTTACCACCACCACATCTTTGGGAATATCTTGTTAAATTCCAAAAGTTTCTATAGATCGACACCATGACAAACAACAACTCATATTGACAAGACTAAAAAAAAAAAAAAAAAAAAAATACTGTTTTAGTGACGAACTTTATTAACGTTTATTATTTTTTTATGTTATTTAGAAACGCGAGCAAGGTATATATATATTTTTTTGTTATTTTATTAATAATATATATGTACTTTTTTTTTTATCAAATAGCAAACGGGCGGGAAAGAGTGTGGGCTGGGGCATAGCTGGGAGTGGGTTTAATTACTAG